GAAAATGTGTGTGTCTACAAGGTTAGAATTACTTCTTCCCCTGAAGTGATGCCCATTTTGCCTGTCGATGGTGTACCTTGAGATTTCAGTGCCTAAATTCCACCCGTTTCACTTTGAAAAGTTAAGTGCTTTTTGGGTCTGACATCTAGCAGGTCCACATTTAAGCACATAATGCAGAGGAAACATTGCCAAAAGAGATGTAAATGGTTAGGGCAAGAAAATTGTGCCTCTCTAACACACTAAAATTAAGTCAATCGTGCAGCTGCTGAGAGTGGAGGTAATGGTTGATGTAATTTATTTGGATTTAAAAAAGAAAAAAAATCCTTGTAAAAATATCCCTACCAAGAAACCACTAAAGCAAACCAGTATAGAGGAAGTAAGAGCTGAAGTAGCTGTGCATTAGAAACTAAGAGGCAGAGCAGGATTAAATGGTCAATTTTTTTATCATGGCAAAAGGCTAATAGTACAGTGCCCCAACACTCGGTATTCAAACCGGTGCTATCTAAAAAGAGGGATGAACATGCTGTCTGAAAGGTGGCACTGTTTGCTGTTAACAGAGAATTATTTCAGTTGATCAGAACTAGAGAAGATTGTGAATGACCTGGGTTAACAAAGTGAATAAATGGGCAGTGTGATACAGATGAAATGCGATGCTGACAAATACAAGGTTGGGCACACATTCAAGCGAATAACTGGAAGTATTTGTAGGCTTTGCAGGGTTCTAAATTAACCATAGCTATTTAGGTCATTACTTGCTATGATCAGCTTAGTGGAAAAAAAATGTGTTGTGAAGGGATACTATGAAAACAAAAGATGATGTGACCATGTGGGGGAAGGAAAAAAAAACCCACAAAAACCAAGCACAGAACAGAAAATACAATTCCATCCCTAAATCAACAATAACAATTCATCCCTATCTCATTCCCTACCTCTTACAGCATACTGACAAAAAGTAATTCTGTGGACTGGCATCTAAATGATGAGGCAAACAGAGGAGGCTGTAAACAAAGATTTGTTTAGAAAGGAGTCAAGTAATAGAAGATGGAGGGGAAGTATTTAAAACAATGAGTGATATAAAGAATAAAAGCTAAGAAGTTTCTAAAAAGCAGCGAAGTGGTATATTTAAAGAGAATGAAAATGAATTATTTTCATGAAAACCTCATTAACCTTTGGGACTCATTCTCTTAAGCAATCATGGAAGCCGAAAGTTCAGCATTATGCTACTTTAAAGCAATTCTTACGCTACGAGAGGACTGGAACAGTTATTCGATAGCTATTCAATGCTGCTTATTCGGAGATCCTGCTTCTCCGTTCAAAAAGCCTGTACAGATACTGACCTGCTGCTTCCTATTTGTGAATCAGACCTTTTCAAGTGCACAGACATTTTTGTGCTCAGCTTTGCTGTCTCTAAACTGGTGGGCAGTGCAGAGTCTGCATTGTGCCAGGGTTCCTGCTCCAACACACAGAAGGTGAGTACTCAAGGAAGAAATCGTTAAGCATTACATAAACTTTGCTGTAGAAGAATTTTCTGGATAAAACTACCTATTCTAAATGTGACTGTTCAACTGTGATTTCCCCAGTCTGGAGTTCTGGACTGACGACTTCAGCAGCTGGTGCATTATATGGGATGGTCCTTTAAAACTTCCTCACTGCTGAGTTGAGGCGTCTATGATTTTCAGTAGCATTTATAACCACTCAGGCTGCACCATGGTGTGATCCGTTTCACATGCCAGGAACTTTGATGGGGAGCGGCTGAGATTAATGATGACATAATACAGTAAGAAGAGATATTAATGCTCTTAGGCATGAATTAATGAAATACTATTGAGAATTTATCCTGCATGAATAAAAGGATTTGGAAGTTGTCGTTCTAAAAACCACATGAAGGATTTTACTGAAAAAAAATCCCCAAACGCTCTGTTGAAATAGACAGGGTCCTAATGAACCTTTATTCCAGATTTTTGTCGGAGCTGGATGCTTGAGCCAGATCCTTTAATAGAATTTCTATTAATTTACAAAGTGTTTACATAAATGAGAGGCACAGATCTCTTCCTTCCAGGGCTGTGGCAGTGCTGATTTTTATCCCCAACTCAATGCAAAGCTGGATTCCAACCTGTGCTGTAGTTGCCTAGTAGAGACCCAGCATGTCAGTGACATCCATAAACCTGGGGTCCTTACCTCAGTGCGGCCATACAGCAAGACCCTTACTTACTGAAATGGTAGCAGTGCTCTTCATAAACATGGAAGGTGACTGTCACCATCTATTTTAAAAAAATCTAAGGTGTGCTTTACTGGCATAAGAATATTTGCAGTGCTACAGTTGAGGTGGAACTGAAGAATTACTGCGGTGTGCCATTACTTTTCATTCTCCATTGTCTCCTAGAATTAGTGAGTTAAAACCCCAGTGAAGATGTTCATATACATATAATTGTCTACCTGTAACTTTTCTTGATTTAAAAAATAATTTTATTCAGGGATAAAACTTTGCACTAGCATATGTTGTCATGTAATCAAGTCTAGAAGACAAGTTTTGTTAGTTTTGAGGCAAAGTGGGATAACAACAGTACACAGGGACTGTTTACTTTTTTTTGTTGTTCTGCTAATGTCTGTTCTGAGTAGTTCAGAAAATATTTCCTTAAAAATTAGGAAAATTAGGAAAAAATAGGAAAAATATGACACATATTTTATCCATAACTTATGTCAATTTGAAACACCTTTTATTGCCTACATAACTGAATATATGTAAACTTTATTAGTAATTTCATTTCCAATTTAAAAGAAGCAAAGGTGTATTGTAGAATTCACAGATAAAGGTTAATTTTAACTATAAAGGTATTACCAGTGTTGCATTTCTTCATGTTATGGTTCACTTATGTAGAATTGAGATGTATTTTATATCAAACAATGCATAGCACCATTATACAACAGTTCACTAAATGTACATCCCATTTAATCTTTTGTAGGAATTCATATAACTGGACTGAAGTTACAAGGAAGAATTGAACTGAGCCAGTAGGGTTAACGCTGATACTAACAGGAGATTACTAGCCCTAAGAAAATTACAGCTCTTCTGAAAGGCAGTGCCTAAAATAGCAGCATATCCTTGGCACCATCATAGGAACAGGTTAACTGATGACCCTGAAGAAACACTTGTTTCCATTAATTCTGCTGTCATTATTTCGCTATTCTCGAACTCTTCCTCTGAATTCTTCTGTCCTTCTGATCCCAAGACAAGATGGCAGGAACGTGAGAGAGAACATAAAGAAATTACAATAAGCTGTCGGCTATATAATTATATTGTAACCTACTACACTGAGAAGTTACACCAACAGAAACATGGCAGGGTATCAGCTGCTAGCTGCTAGCTAAACACAGGACACTCACTAGCATAACATTAAAAAAAACAGGCTCACTAAAAAGCAACACCTACATTACAAAGAAGCTAACAAAAGAATTCCCTTATGATACTTAGGTTCAGCTGGTTCATCTTAGGTTCATCAGCTGCATTTTTCTTGTTTTATGAATACTTGTTATATTTGCAACTGAATATATATTTAAGATCACAATGCTACAAACCTTTTTCCAGCATGTAGTTTTGCCACCTTTAGTTAGACACAAAGGAGTACTTGCTCAAACTAAGGTTGAAGATTCTGCTGAAAGTTGGTGATATTATTAGGTCATGTGTACTGTAATTACTTGAGCACCACAATTTTTAAATCCCTAAGACACGATTTCCTAGGTAGAAGGCAGTATGCTTTTAAGTTGCCAGACAGATCAAGGGAATCATTTTTGTTCCAAAGAGTCTGCTGTATACCCTGAATCAGAACAAATTATTTCATAGAGACTTCAGATTTTTAAAGCATCTCTATTAAACAGAAGTAAACAGTTTCTGATTAAATTTTAAATGTTCCAGTGACTCTACTGTAAACACAGTAACTTTTAAGTGTAAAGGAACATACTGGCTAAAGTTACCAGTAGGGTCCATGGTGAAGATGCCTTTTTCTTCAAGAACAATTGCTATGGTGTCACAGTCCTGATTAACATACATTGGGGTTACCTGAACCCCACAATTCCATCTCAACTTGGATTTTTTTTTTTTTTACAGAATTTGAATTGTCTCAATAGCAGGAAGTCTTGCCCAAAATATTCTTCTGAAATCCAAACTTTTTCAAAGTGCATTGATTTATTTTCCAAATGGACTTTATATATTAGTAGGTAACAGAATTGATACGGCTTTCAAATGAAACTTTGGTGTTCTCATACATAGAGCCACAGTGGCCTCACATGGAACTATGCCCTCTGTGATCACAGGGCATTAATTTTAGAGTTATTTGGAAGAACACAATTTTGGAAGTTGTGACAAATGAAGTCCTTGGCGTTATTTTTGAGAGGCCCTGGTTGAGAGGGACAGAAGAGGCTTGGGAATCAACACAACAAAGACTTCAGACTTCCAACTTGCCACTGATTTCTAGATAACATCTTGGGCATCAGCTGCCTTCTGCAGTTCTCTAGTCATATAAAAACGGGGACAGTCATGCTTATTTATCTAACTCCAAACAGTGCCGTGATGGACTAATTATTTGGATAGCACTCCGAGTGCTATCCAAATGCTGCTTATTCATGTTTTCCCCACTGCAACAATTGGCATTTCGTTTCTTCATCACTAACAATTAACTGTGAATTACTGTTGCCGAGAATACGATGGTAGTGTTTTTACCACCTTATTTTTAATTTCAGTACAGACGCCTACTTAAAAGTTATGTAAATATATGAAATTACAGTGCATTTTCCTAATGACCCTGCTATGTCTGAGTTTGATCCTATTCAATTGACTAGAGTAAAGATGACCTTTTTTCTGTAGAGCCATATAGACAGATTCTATTGTATTCTCAACACTTAAATCATGAAATGTAAAGAAGCCATTCTAAGCAGGATACAGCTGGGTTGAAGGACTGCTGATGCCAATTATGCTTCGTACATAATAATGCACATTTTACCTATTTGGAAAAAAATTCACATTTATTTACTGTCAAACAGGTGTTAAACTTTACACTGGATATTAGTGATGGGCTCAATATTAACAGGTTTACACAAAGGGACGAAAAAAGCAGAATTTTGTTGAAACAATTTACATTTCATTAGATTTTTATCATAAAATAAATTAATTACTAAATATAGGCAGAAGGAATATGGAAGAGTAATAGTTATGTTTTATTTATTTTTTTTAAAGGACAGGCACCTTTCATTCACGAGAAAGCTTGTGAGAAGTGTCCAGTGTCCCCTTTACCCCTTACCACCCAACCCTGATTAAAGAATGAACAGGGAACTGAGTTACAATCTTTGTTAGCTATATCAAATTTGTGCAAGGCTTGGCATAATTGGCTTCTAAAACAATTTTCTCCCCAAATTATGGTTTTTGGCAATAAAAATTCAGAACGTAAGAACAAAAACTAACTTGTCAAAGCAGAACACTGTTTACAGTGAAAAATAAGTGAAAATGGGTAGAACTTGCATTTTAAACATACTACCGTACTATGAACAGAGTGTAAGAAAAACAGCTTATAACATATGTGCAACCAAGAGCTTTTCACAATATTTTCTTCAAACTCTTTAAAATTATTTTTTAATGACAATTATATTTCAGTTGGACACAAATGTATTTATTTTACCCTAGCAATAGAACAAAATAGAATTTCTTTAGCCATTTTTTTAATGAGAACGGTTCATTGTACAGTTGAGGAAATATATGAAATAAGGCCTGTGGCTTGATTGCTAGTGGTTAGACATGTATTCAATCTTTGCCCTAATGGAAAAGATTTGCAGTGAACTGCAAACTGATGCAGAATATCTCTCCTGCTTTTGCAAGTCTTGTCAGGAATAGTAAGGTACAGTAAATTTGTCCCACAGGATTTTAGAGCCTACTCCTTGTATATAATACAATGTAGGCCTAGAAAAAAAAATGGTGCAGCCATATTTACAAATTTAGTTCACAAACTGCTGCAGTAAAATGGCTGGAAAGTATTTCTCTTTTTTTTCACAATTTTGTTAAATTCAGCAGCAGAAGATATCTTAAAATACCTTGTTGGTATTTCTTTTCTTTGTAACAAATAATTCATTTTAGTATACTCTGTGTATATACAAAGTTTTTGTTTTATAAAAATTCACAGAACTGCGATGTCCAGTCATCCCCGTTACTGGAGAACCACAGGGTCAACAGAATTGTCTCTTCAAGCAGATATGAGGGAGCCTGCACGGGGCCAATTAAGTCTTTTTAATACTTGTACGTGGCCTTTAATATTTCTTTGCTACACTATTAAAGGCTTGTCACTAGTTGCATTTGTCCTTCTCTAACATCCCCTTCTGGAATACATCCTTCCTTGTTAATGGGAATTATATAGCCGTCGCTATTACCCCTGCTGATTTGATAGTACATCTGAAGCTGATGGCCAGCTCCTAGGTTTGGCATGCTCTTGTAGTAAATGTCCTCATTTTCACTCCTCCTGGAGGGAGAGAGATCTTCTTCGACGTCGGGGCTGCTCTCTGGATACGGAGAGTCTCTGAGGTTGGGCATGCTCGTGTAAAGAGAGTCTCTGTTGGGGGACTGGAGGTGGTCGTCAGCCTCGGCGGTCAGCTGTGAGACGTAGCTGTCGGTTCCCTCGGTCTTCACTTTCTTCTGGGGCTGGTACAGAAGGGAGTGAGTCCGCTGAGGAATGAGCGGGGCCTCAAGCTCTTTGTGGTGGAGCTCCAGCCCGGGGGCGTCACTGTGCATCAAAGATGAGGCATCTGCCACGATGGCGTCATCTTCGCTACTGCTCCCCCCGATCACAGCTTTGGCTGGCAGCGTGCGCTCCAGGTTGTGGTTCTTGCTGCTGCCCCGCAGGTTGTTGTGCACTAATTCTGAAATGATCATTTTCTCAAAAGCAGTATCATTCAGGCTTAGTCCACAGTCTACAACTTGCACGCTGTCGTTATAGTCTCCGTTGCGCAATGAGTAGCTGTTGTTGAAATTACCATTTAGCGGTAGAGTATCCATGGCACTTGTATCCCTGGCATTGTTCAGTGAATGTCCTGAAATGGAAAAGGACAGCTCCGGTTATTGCCTGATGTGCTTTTTATCACTTTTTTTTTTTTTTTTACAAAATTCTTTAATGTGGTTCAGGACAAAGTTGTACTTGGAAGTAAGACTTGAGAAAAGTTAGGTTATTGAACATTCCCAAACATAAACAGTTGCACACCTTATAGGAAAGATGTATATTAAAATGTGTATTTCCTGTGGGGGAATAGTGGCATTTTGATTTCTTAATTTAGTGTCAATTCTGTGACTCTTCCACAAGGAACTGTTCACTCCATGCCCTTGCATATGTAATGCAAAGCAATTCATTTGGAAACATCTATGATTTGAAGTACACCACCATGATTTAGAAAAAGAACATTAACAGAATTTGTCCTAAACGACACTAAATTAAAAAGGAATCAGATCACAGACATAACTGAAGGTAAATGTACAACATAAACCCACATAACTGGCAAGCAACTACTTCAACAACATTTCTAACATTTTTTCCTTTTTTTTTTTTTGAGATGAAGTAAAGAAAAGAATGAAAAAAATGGATAAATACAAAGAATTTATGTTAAACAAGGACAGCCATCTTTCACACTACAGGGACCAGGGTCCACAAGCACCATCCAACAACACGATAGACAGCAGGTGGAATGACTCACTTTGGACAACTCACATCATGTCTGTCTGCTCAGGCTATCTGGCCTAAGAGTAGCTGATATATAAAAGAAAGTAAAATGATTTATTGTAACATGATGAAGAATTACTGAGCTTCTCAGCAACTTAGAGCAAGGGTTCAGCAAATTAGATTACTAAGCAATAACAGCTTTTCTTTTCCCACTTAATGTAATTTTTTCGCACTAATATTCTATCTGCCAACAACGGCCCCAGGCTTCTAAAGGTCAAAGTTTGCCTGCAGTCTGCATCAGTCACAGTGACAGCGCTGAATGAACCAGAATAGTCAATTAAGAGTTAGGCCCACAGTTACCATGGGCATGGAAGTCAAATGCAGAAATGTTAGGAATTTCTGTAAGTATGGGTCACAGAAATTAAACCAAAGAATAAATATTAGTTGTGGAATGGGAAGAGGAAATCAGCCATGGCTGATATCTCATAGCTGCTGGAGGAATGACAGATTGGGTAAGTCTACTGGAAATATGAAAAGAAGTTTAAGGGGGGGAAAAAATGAAGTCTTATGATGATTAAAATATTTTATGTTTCTGGTTTTGGCTTTTTTTTTTTAATTTATTTTGGTAACACAATAAAGAAAAGGTTTTCCTATAGACACAGACATGTAAACCATGACAGCACAGTGCTTCCCAAGCAAAGGAAAAAGAAAAAACTCTGAAAGAAATTAAACAGTCCGAACCATGGAAAGTCAGATGGTTAAAGCATTCCTAGAAAATCTCTTTATCTACAGATATGTCTGGATGTAACGAAAGAATGGAGTGACTTTACTGAAATGAGACTGACCACTGTGAGGCTGCTGCATTATATGCAAGGCTTGGAGGAGTATAAGAAAAAAGCTGTTTTGGAAAAGATTATACATTTTCCTGTTTTGGGCTTTTTTCATAATTAAGGCTGCAGCTTATCCTAGAAAATTCAATCTTCTCTGAAAAATATTGTTTTCAATTAAAAAGTAATTGCATTTTCTCCTGAAAAGATTTTTGTCTTCAACTTTAAAAAATAGAGTAATAATTTCCAAATAAATTCTGAGTAATTTGCAAATCATTTTGTATTTGCATTATTGTTAACTCCTCTCCATGTGTACTGATTTAAACAGTGACGAGGGTTGCTTGAAAGGTCTCTTTAAGCTTTGATTAAACAACTTTGTAGTTTTGCAATTTCATATATGTTCCAAGATATTTCTTGCAATGGATTTAGCTGCACAGAACATATGGCATTTATAAAAGTAGACAACACATGGGCCACATGCTGGCATTCATTTCCCTCATGAAAGTGATTTAATTCTATAATTTTAATTCTCTTTTCTTCTGCTAAACAGATACCAAAATATATCTGATAATCCAAAATGAGTTTTCTATGATACACTGCAGAGTTAAGCATGCTAGAATATATTCAAATTGGTTTGATGAGGCAAATTTTGTCGCCCATGATCAGGTAATTCATTTGAAATCTTTCCATAGCCTGTAGCAAGATTACTGTGGGAATGTAAAAATATAAGTAAATTGTTAAGCATTTCTGCTTGACACTTCTTTGATTTTAAACAGCAAATTATTTCAGCATAGCATAACTTCTGCTACCAATAGGGTTTGCTACAGACCTCAAGTTGTTTCCCAAAAAGCAGTATGCAAGTACTTTTTGAATGCGGAAACATTTCATTTGCAAATTGTGAACCACTTGCCCGCTGAGTCTACTTCATGACCGCTAGTTATGTTTTAATTGTGCCCATTAAAAATCATGCTGAAAAAATTTACATTTGATAGGCAAAGTTAAGTTTTACTCCCATACTTGTCTCTCTGTAGGTTGCTAGAGGAAAGCATAAGGAAAGTAAGAAAACAAGAGAATGAAAATAGAAACTACAGTTCAGTTAAAAAGGAAACTTGAAATAAAAACTGGAAACAAGGTTTTATGAGCTCTTTATCAAAGACTTATCGTTCCAGTTATACTAAAGTGATCTTACGACTCATCAAACAGTAACTGCTAGATATTTACTGATGAATTGCACCGTAGTTGAAAAAAAGGCAACTAGATAATGTAACAACAAAATGTTACGTAAGTGATGACACCCTTGATTCCTACAGAACTAAACTGTGCTAACTTTTAATCTCAAGATTTTCCTACAGGAAATTGATCTACCATAAAGCTGCACTATACTATAGTTTAGATCTATTTGACGCTGGATACAATTTTCTACACTGGAGTATCCAAAGGTGTCAAGATGCCTTGCGCTGCTTTCGTATCTAATCTGTTCCATAACCAGGTTTTTCTCAGCAAGCTTTAGAGTCAACCTTACATTGCATAGACATGATACCTCTAAGTGATATATATCTTGAAGATGGGCTCTCGGACCATGTGGTGTCAGTCCTGTAATAGTATATTAAGATTTATGCCACCTGTGTTAAAAACATGGATAATTATTGGTAAATACCATTATGGCAAAGGCATTACTATAATATAGTGCAGTTTTACAAGCTGACATTGGCAATACTGTGTTTCTCAAACTGACAGAAATTCAGAACATACAGCTAGGGTATTGCAACTTGAGTTTCTATCTAGGGAAAAGAAAGGATTTGGAGCGAGCCAAGAAAAGCGGTTTTATTCAGGAAGTATAAGCACACCTGGTGAGTTAAACACAGGAGCTGAAGGGGCATTACATACAACTGTTTCAGCGAGCAATGTGTTATAGGGGTTGTTAGTGCCGTGTGGTCGAAGAAGAGGGTTTGTTAGTAGGTAATTGCCAGTCATTCCTAAAGCAAAAGAAACAGAAAAAAATGTCAGTTCTTTAATTTTAGGCTGACAGTTTCAATAAAGAATATTTTATATTTATCATGAATCATGTAGGACTTGTCAGATGTAATTCAGCTGAAAATTTCTGAATGTATTTGAGCTATGTATTTTAAATGGGAGTAGGAAAATACAGTTAGATTCCAGTAATTCACAGGTGCTGTCCAAATCCCCAAAGTAAACATCTGGTGAGAGTGACATTTACTAATGTATACAGAATCACTGTTACACAAGAATAGCAATTAAATGTGTACAGATCAAGGTACTACATAAAGCTATTATAACTTTAAAAATGATCATATAGAACACTTCTGTCCAGAACTGAGAGAACTGAATTTCTCAAACTGAAAGGTATTGAAAAGTCTCCTATGACAGGATCAGAGGTGTTATTCACTTTATTAAAAACACACGGATAGTGGAAGGGAATTACTCTTTTCAAATAGACAGTGGATGACAAACTGCAAGAAGCATATCTTAGTATATGCAAAAGAATGCATGCTGAGGGGAAAGCAAAATATTTGCTCTAAGAAATCAGAGCATTCACATTTTCTCCTGGGACATTCATGCTGCAAATTTTTCTGCCAGGTTTTAAAAAAGAATTCCTCAAATGATAAATTTTCTTTAAATAATCAGTTTACAAACAATGTAAGATGAAGCAAAATACTACATGAACAGATTTTTTTAAAACCCATTTTACATGTTAATGAAACACCATTTAAACAACTCTTGAAATAACTACAAAAAAATCAGCATATTCTGAGAAATTATTAAAAAATAAATTAATCTCTAATTTATAGCTACTGGAAGAAAAATGTGTTGGAATAATGACACACATTCCACCCCAACACTGTGATTTAAAACTTACTTTAAACATTTCATTAAGGAAAAATTCCACTTTCTTTTCTATTGGATTGCACAGCACTGTATCAGGATCAGTGTATTACAGACTCAAGGATAACTAAAAAGCCAGCTATATTTTTATAGTATGGGTATTGTTATTTGGCAAGTAAAAGATAGTATATATTCCAAATATTAATGCTTTTGTACTACCATAGATACTTGGTAGCAAAAATGAGCAGAAAATTCTAAGATTTAGAGAATTATTGCCTGATTATGCTAGTCTTATTCGAATATTTGTATGAGCGAACAACTAAAAAGATTTTATCATAGCGTTTTTCAGTTGTAGTGTACATATTACTAGAAATACTAACTGAAATATATTTTGCTTGTGTACTGTGTTTAATCTTGATTAGAATTATTACCTGTAATTTATAGTTAAGAGAAATTTTTTCAATCCAAAATTTTTTTCTACCTTTAAAAGCTTGATTTTTATTTTAAAGGAAAAATGACACTTGTCATTAATTACTAAACTACCCTTATATGTATGTATTGCTGAGATAGTGACAATGTTATAATTCAATAAAGATGGTATCATGGCAGAACATATCCAATGACTTGAGACCAGAGCTCCGAAACAGTGAGAAGCTTCCAAGACCTGTGTTCAGCTCTGCATTAACTGAGGGTGCAGCACAGTTAAAGTAAATCTCAGGAGTCAGAGAGATCAAATTAGGGTGAAATCCCAGACTTCTATCTATAGTGTATTTATGGGATTTTAGTAAGACACTGAAAGGGAATATACTTCTTTCTCAGGCATGAAAAATACATATTTTCTGCCTTCAAGACGTTACTTAATTTTGATTTTGCCACAGGAACACGCAAGATTCAGATGGAAGGAGCAGTGAGACGCACAGGTCTTATCCACTTTTTGTATACCAAATAACTAAAATAGAGTCATGCTTTCTTTTCTTTTGCAATATACCACTTTTTTTTTTACTTCCAAAATGAATATGAGTTAAGTACATGTCCCTACTACCAAATCTTGGAAAAAAACAAGGGAAGAAAATTTGCTCTTTGTGGTTGATGAGGGCTTTACAGCAGCCCTGACAGTGGTGAATTTTCTGTTTGAAACTTTCTGAGTTGAGCAGGAATTGATTCCAATGAGATCAGGGCTACATGTTCTTCTCCTAGGGACGTGGGTGGAAGAACAGGCTTTGAACTTGGCTTGCACAGAGCAGTCTTCCCTCCACTGCTAGCTCAAACTGCCTTAAAAAAACACAAGGGGAAGGGGAGGAAGGAAGGGACATTCTGTCTCGGTTAATACCCTTGTCTTCTAACTGGGCATGAGAATGAGGTTACAGATTTCAAAGTCTATTTGAGCTGAGAAATTTTGAGTTCTGGCTTCTCTGTGCCTGAAAATCTGGATTCTATCCCATGTGACAGATACGATGCTCTTTGAAATAGAAAAGATAAATGCTTTACAGACATCTTTTGCATAGAAATGATATCAATTAGATTTCACTGGGAAAATTTCTGCACCTAAAAATCATAGTCCAATATGCATTAAAATGTTACTGCACTCATATTTCTGTTTCAGATTTAACCTATAAAGGTTAGGAAAGATTTAAAATTATGATCTTGCTTTTAAGTTAAATTATTGATGAAACTTATTTAAATACATTCCCACGAATGGAGGAATTCAACTTCTATAGCAGGGGACCAGTTGAGGGAACACGGATTTAAAATGTGCTGGTGGAGGACTTTAAAATTCTGCTTTTAGAGAACAGTTGTTCCAGATTTTTTTTTCCAAAACATTCTTTTCAATTCTTCTTTGTTAAATGATATAAAATCTCTATAAAATTTAAGGTTTCTAAAACTGAAATGTTCCCAGTGACTGACCTTGATTAAGTGTTGAAGTGCTGTTGATGTCACCTGAGATAAAAGACGATTCAGATTGTTTTCTCACAGTGTCATTCCACATCCTCCTTATACGACTCTGTTAACATAAAGCGGTGAGACAGAAGCATAGTAAGTTACAAAAAGATTTTTTCCTACTTATGTGCTATTATGTAGAATATTTGTATTTGGGCCTAAAGTAAGCCATTCTTCTAGCACATAGTAAAACTCCTTCTTTTGTTATTAAAACTCTGATTTATTAAATTTCATTTAGATGAAACATGATGGCATAAACCTTCCTATATACAAGAAAAGTAAGGTGTTTGCATTAGACCAACGTAAAAGGAAATGTTTAAAAAGAAATCAGTTCTACCACGCAAAGTACGTATTTGCCATCTAAACGGTAAGAATGAGAAGGCAATTAGTGCTTCTGAGTGGAACACATATGAGAGGATTTCTATAAATAAGGTTAATTAAAAGATGCTGTCAAAATCTTTGTTACCTGAGTGCCAGAAGAATAGCGAGCACTAGTTCTTGTTGTTGATGCCTTCACTGAACTGTGAGGACTCTCAGTTGGCAGTCCACCACAGCAGTAGGAATGTCGGAAGCATTTGCCATATTCCTTACGTACCTATGGAGGAAAAATAATTACTTAGCACAAAAAACACTGTTAAATATCTCTGCTGGCAAAAACACATGAACCTTGCATTGAACCTGCTCACACACTTTTCAAGCAAATAGATAATTCTTGTCTGTTGAATTGATGGCCATTAGCAAAAGCAGGTATTTTTCCCTAATTAGTGACAGCATTATCAGCTATCCAGGACTTTTGAACAAATTCTTTCCAAAGTATAAATGCACTTCATTTAGATGTGCCTGAATAATAATTACTGATTTATTTATGGGATTATTTTTATTTCACCTTCATATTTTAGATTAATATAGTTAAGTTTACCTGAATTCAATGCTGGCTGAAAATAGCCCTTTTTATGAGAGCTTTTGGTGCAGAAACCGTAGAAAGCCTATCTTCCTTCCCATCCTAGCACACAAGAAGGGCTGAGGTAACTAGCTTTTGCACTGCTCAGTACTGCCCATTACGTTATCCCTCCAAGAAAGTGTGCAAAACCTGCAATGACTACAAAGCCGTTTCCATAGAAAGCTACTCTTTGTAACTCAAACAGCTGCTAGTTTATACAGACACACCTGCTTGCAAAAGCCACTGCCCCACTCTAGACAGAGCGTCAGCTATGCTGGTGGAGGCATCGTCAGTGCTCCAAACTCAGATTTTGAGCTGTAAAGGCTGAGAAATGAAGCATCTTTCACTTTTAGGACCAAAAAATAAAATCCTTGTGTCTTTGCTGAACCTAGAAATTTGAATATAGCTATGTATATGAGATTTTTGTCTGAGAGAGCAGCAAAACTCATTAACAATTCCAGTATTTGGCCTGCATTTATTCACTTTCTGTTTCCAGTGACCTACTGGAAACTTTAGTTTTGTAACTAATATGTGTTAACATTTGTTGTAAAAGTAATCAGGTCTGTTTACATGCAGTGAATTCTCTCATATTTGGTGACTGCTACACTGACTACTGTTTTCAGGTAAGAGTGCATCTCGGCAGAGTGACAGTCCTTTCCCTCGGTGAAAGGACTCAGTGGATAAAATTGGTAAAGATGCGTAAGTCTACATTCGTAAATCTTCCACCAGATACTTGGGAATCTAAGCGTCTCTTCTACATCAATAAGACTCCTAAATTTCTGAGAAAAGCTGGATTTCAGATTATCTGGAAATTCTGCTTGACCTATGAATATACAGGACAGAAAGAAAGTTATGTGTATGTAAAAAGGGGAGAGAGGAAAATGCAAAAAGTTCATAGTGTGGATTTACATATGCCATGTGCTGTTTTTAATATTACAAGAATTTTACTCATGGAATACATATTGTGATATTTCTATAAATGACAAGGTTGAAGAAAATTTGAATAGTTAGTGCCTTAGCCTCAAGCTAATAACTCATCTTTTTCTAAAAGTATATGGTATATATTTTAAGTGAAATCCTATCTATATCAGCACAAAAGACACATAAAAAATGAAAACAGAAATGCATGGACATAGAATTACAATCTTAACTCTGTAGTCTGAAAAACATAAGACTATATATATCATGACTAGATGGTGTAACACCTAAGAAAATACATTCCTGAACACTAATGGATATTAAATGCTCCAAACCACTACATAGTAGAGACAATAGCAATCAAAACTGTATTTTTACACAAATACCACCCTCCAGGGCTGGTTTTGCCTAATGCCTATATTGCAGTGAATGTACATTATCTGTCAGCACTGCGCATTCCACTGTCATTATTTCTAAATTATAGCTTGTTGGAAACTGATGGAAGCAACAGCGCTATCATCTTGTCAGAACTGGAAACATAATAGTTTTCACTTTCACAATTCTATTTCTCTGTTCAATTTAGTGACCAAGTAGTAATAACAGAATAAAAAGACTACATTAGCTATGCAGACAGAGGATAGGATGATATCCAGTCAAAGGCAACGAAACTTAAAAATCTTAAATGGCAGCTTTAACATTCTTTCAGGTATAAATCTTATGGCTCTAGGTTATGCATTTTCACACTTGACTGGTATTTTAATATTGCTTTTTGCTGACTCCACTTAATATAAAAACAATGCAGCTGTAAAAAGAAAAAAAAAGGAATCTGCTTTTGATTTTCAAGTCCAATACAAGCGGTGGAAAGGGCAACACTATATGAAACCCTAATCTAGAAATTATTTGCATTTTGAGAATGTTTGCATCTTCTTCCCTCTCTTCTTTTCTTAGGCTCAATCTCCTCTCTAAGTGCCCCTTTGTTTTCTCAAAATGAGAGGAGTGCTGTATTCATCTGGATAAAATTCTTTCTGTCTACCAGATCTTTTCCTAAAACATGGCTGAATACCATTGTCTACACCAAATTTAGAGATGCTGATACTGTTAGAGCTGGTACAGTTGAGAACACGCAAGCATGTGATTTTTGTACTTACACAGCAACGCTTTATCCAATGGTCTCAAACCATTTTATAAATATCAGTTAATTATGTCTCTGGTGAGCTAATTATAATGGGAGTTAATAATTGCTAGGTCTCCAGCTTTAAAACTGGTAAAAATATTTAGAATCTAAATACTACAAATTAGGTATTTCCAAATGTAAGATGTACTGCATTTTACATTGTTTTTTGGGTGGTATTTTTTGATGTTTACCCTTCCTCTAAACTCTCTTCACTTCCATTTGTCATGCCTTCTAACACAGGTTATGAGCTTTTTTTTTTCGGTCCTTCACTAAAGCACCTCTAAGGCACTCTTGGAAGCAGTCTCCACCCTCAGTCTGAGGAAGAGAAGGGGTGCAAGGAATTCAAAGAGAATCCCACCCAGCTGCACCTTTCACTTCCTTCTCTCCTGTTTGCTCCCCTCTCCCGTTCAAGCTTTCTCTCTCCCTAGCAAGTCTGCTCCTTCTGGACCCCTCTGCTCCCATCAGGCAAAGAGGAGCACAACTAATTTAGCACAGCCCACTCGTGAGGGAAGGCTCTTGCCAGGGGATTCCAGTTTTCCCGGTTAAGAGCATGAAGCTATTGGATTGCTGCGGGAGGCAAACACTTGGAAAAAAGTAGTCATGCTGGCATCTTTGGAAAATTCTCCCCGTCAGCAGTTATCTAGTGTTAACGACTACTTTTTTCCAAGGTGTGTCAAAGTTCATAATAAAATTAATTTTTAGATCTCACTTAATTTTGTAATGAACGAGCACTCATAGTACAATCCCTGCCTATCACTCGTAGCTTTATGTGGCAGCTTAATGGGATCTCAGGAGAGGTCCTCTGCCTTGATATGAGAAAGAGACAGAGTTTCCAGGCTGAGATGGGCTGACACTGAAAATGATCCTTTGATTGCAGTGCTGCAGTGGAGGCAGGATTTGTGTCATGTACACATTAAGGACTTCTGGCTGTAAGTCCAGACTAACACGTACTACATTACCAATGCTAAACGGTACATTTTCTCTAGTAATTTTCTTCCCCAAAGCGTCAAAACTTTTCAAGCTTACTTTGGAAATGCTGCATCCATTTTAAACCCGCCCAGGCCACAGAGCAGTTACGTGACTCCCGTAAGCACACACAGCAAGAATTGCTTTTGAATCCTAGTCTCCTCCTCAAATTACTTCAAAATACTCCAGTTCTTGACATTGCTATTATTTCTCTATTTTTTAAGCCATATATGTGGTACTTTTAAGGAGTTAGGGAACATGCATCTGTGTTTTCAGTAACTTACTTTCTTTTGGAGGGCACAATGAAAGATGAAAATAAACATTCCTTGGAAAGCATTAAATACTGTGAAGAGATACGTCATCACAACAGTCCCCTCATTGATAAACAGCAGGCCAAATGACCATGTTAGGCCAAGGAGACACAGGAGAGCAAATGCACCCAGGACCCAGGATCTGTAAAAGAAAATTAATTTTAGTAACATTACTTATGAGAACGCATGTCATCAAATCCAATATTAACATTTCAGTTCCTGAAGTTGACTTTTACTAGGTTCACATTCAAATGTAAAAATTCCTTGGGTTTAACCTTTTATCTATTAAAGAAAGAACAATTCCGTTTAGTACTCTCAGTCTCCAGTGAAAACAGCAAGAGTAGATATGACCTTTTTCTTTCTCAAGAACTGCATAGGATATCAAAACTATTTTGAAATGCAGAAGCATAGCGCAAGCCCAGCTACTCCATTGCTTTATCTGCTTTTAGAAAAGAGATTGATAAATCTGGCTTAGCCACTAATCACACCATAGATTTTAAGCAGTGGTGCTGCCATATGACACCAAATAATGTAACACAAATGCACAAAGGTTAAACAGCAGATTAAAAGCCTAGAGCCCAAATCTTTAATGCTCCGATAAACTCAGCTAAACTGAAGCTAGATGATCTAACTTCCGCATGAAGAAACCCTGCTGAAATGTGACAAAAATATGGATACTGCTCTACAGAATAGTCTAAAAAAGATTCCATCATGAATAGGTTAAGGAAAAGGAATTATATAGAACGTCACAGAATGAAAGGGAAAGGGAATTTAGTCAGTGAATTCCACATCTAACTAATGATCTTACTTGATAAATGGCTTATTATCTTCATAGCTAGAAAGCATTATAAGCAGAAAAGAGAAACAAAATTATTAGACAGAATTGAAACAGAAATTAATAAGAGCATTTTAATTGTCTATAAAAATTAGTCAAAATTAGGAAATTCAAAATGCAGAGGCAAGCAATTTAAAATTATAAAGGCATATAATAGTTAAAAATTCTTTAGCAAATCAAGTATCTCAAGACTTGTTAATTAAAATTAAGGGAAATCCACAATATTGACCGAGTTTGTAAAGTTAAAAATCATGCTAGATATTTGTTAATGTAGGGTTCTATCTTACCCAGGTAAGTCCGTATTATAGTAGCCATCACAAACACGGTAATTACTGGTGTGGATGAGAAGACAGAAAGAGGAAAAGGAAGAAAAGAGAGAGATGCTAAAGATTAGCTCTCTCTCTCACCATGCAACATGCAATGAAGCTGATACTGACCTATCTAGAACATCTAGTTCACAAAGTTAGCCTTACTGAAAATCTCCCTTGGCCATTTTCAACATTCAAAGCAAATCCATAAGACCCTTTCACATCCAACCCTCAGTGTTAGAAAGTTGCACCATCCCTTCAGTGTTGATAACAAAAACCTCCAGTACAACGTAAAGCTATACAGAATACAGTAAAAGGCTATCTAAAGAAGAGCTGCCAAAGCTATGTTAATTATATAACACATATTACTCTGCAAAAGGGATACTGCAGTACAGCACCATGATAAAGTAAACATTTGTTAAATTAGCATGAAAACAGCAGATAATCTTCAAGTTAACAATAATAATAGAGTCAATTCTCTTGGGAGAACAGGATTACGAGTAGAAACTGCTCAGAATCCTTAAATCAAAAAGTCATTTAACAAAACAAACTTAATATAATCATATCAGCCATGCAAACAGGAACATCATTTTTGAACTGCATTTTAAATGCAAATGAAATTACTACAGTGCTGTGGCATTTCCGTGAAACAGTTTCTTGGCACTAGTTCCAGGCTGAAATTATCTAATTTTGACCGGCGTTTGTGACATTACAGCAACAATGTGACGAAAGCAGGATTGGCTTTGTTTGCTTCTAATTGACATCTGCAGTTGCTGGGAGACAATGGCATGTGCTCCTAATGGAGAGTAGCTTTCAATCAGTTCAGCAATCAGAAAATAATCATAGTTCTCATACTTGAACACAAAGCACTTACTTAATGTTTTCCAACCTGCTAGAGTCTGGTTTCAAAGTGTTTGAGTGCTTCACCATTTTGCACAATGTGATCACCAGGAAGATAAGATTCAGCTGTCAAAACAGATAAGAATGAAATTAAACTACTTCATGTAACAAGTTGACTAATGATGATGTTAAAGACTAAACAAAAATCCTGTAGTTTATTTTCAAATGCGTAGTGAAACTGGATAACTATCTCAGACAGTCTGTAAAAAGTGATTGCAAATATGGATGAGGGGACAAAAAATGCTACTAGTCCTTGTTTTGCTTAATTTTGCAAATTCACCACATCATCAGGAACCACCATATTTAGCTCATGTCCAACACTTGTCATTGCCACTCTAGCTCTGTCATCCAGCATGTTGTGCTCAGGTCCTGTTCACCTTCGCCTGTCACCTCTGGCACTGTTCCCCATCTCACTGACTTCTGACGCAGACTATAGTTACTCCTTTATTGTTCTACACTGGTTGCCTTTTTATCACCCCATCTGCTTCTGCAATGTCTTTCGCCTTTGCTGGTTTCTCCCTTTCTTTTTTTTTATTGCCTTTTGTTCTCACAAATCCCACTGGGGTCTTAAATGTAACTGAGGAGAAAGAAAAAAGAAAAAGAAACACAAAGATGTAGCAAATGCATCAAACTTAACAGTGCCATAGACATATGCTGATGGTGCACCCTCCTACTGCCCTCCTTCCCTTTGTAGTCTGGATTCTGTCAAAGTGGGACTGCATGCCACTTGAAGGAAGGACTATGCTGTCTTATTCTTGTTGTGTCATTCATACAGGTAACACCGGGGAAGATACTGAAAGTAATTTTTTGTAGTTTTCCTTTTGTGAAACAGAATCACAGATATCAAAGATACTAGGTGCCTTTCTCCTATCGATTTCAAAGCATATGAAGAGCATAGGTAAGCCAAATACAAGGATGCTTGCGGAATACAGGTTGAAAAGTGGTATACAGTTAATTTGAGAAATTAGTACGTGCTGTCCAATATCATGCAGACAATTCAAATAAAATCATATGTTTGAAAACAGTAAGAGCTATGTCCTTCAGGGAGAAGACACATCCTCATCTACTAGCATAAAGGTCCACAAGAAATGGCTGAAATGATAGCTAAGAGAAAATGGGAGAATATGCCTGGACATCCTTACAAAACATGTACTAGATTGATTATAACCTCGTTCTTACAATCTTCCATATGTATCTGCAACTGGTTACTGACAGAGCATAATCAAGCCCAGTCTCTCATTTTGGGGAATCTTTGGTTTGAGACAGCATCAAAACCCTCACAATTTTTATAACATCGGGTACACCAGTTCCTACCAGATGCATTCCTACAGCTGTGCCACAATGGTCAGAAATACCACTCAAGTTCTAATAGAGAGCAGGTCTTAACAGTTACCTTGAAAAGAGGAGTATTTTGAAGGCTCTGATCACAGTCTGTTAATAAAGACATGTATTACAGAAATAATTCCTACTGCTAAGGGCAATCAAGTTATCGCTGCTCCTGCTGCCGTCTCAAAATCAGGACGGCCAGCATCCTGCACTACAGTTCTCAACACCAAAAGAGTGTTTGGCAGCTTTTGACGTCATCAGTTCTGATTCAAAGCAAAACATTTTTACAAATGTATCTTAATACAAAAAGTGTACATGATACAAATAGGAAAAATAAGCTTTTATAATTTATTTCTGTCTGTATTTCAAGAACTGACAAAACACTTGACCTTTAAGGGGAGGTATGTACATGGTGTAGGTTAACCGTGATTTCCATTGCTGTAAAATGTAATAGAAGTGTCAATATCTCATGACCCTGCTGATTATCTTTTATGATTCTTATAGGTAATGACTAACCAGTTGAGAAACACTTCATTATACCATTATGATCGTTTTGTTCCTCTTGTCTAGGTTTCCACTGTACTGTGTAAGTTCCTTGGGCGAGAAAACAAGTTGCTTCTCTCCCTGGCCTTTGCACCAGACAGAGGATGGGGGTTCTGCATGTGATCTGCCTTTGCAGGCAGACTTTCTTGTTCTGTATTCAAAAAAGTTTCTTGCATGTTTTGCTAGCTGACATAACATGAACTTCTCCAGCCTGCTTAAAAAAAAATGTAACTTCAATTTACTTTTTGTGAAAACAAACAGATTAAGGGCTAAGAGACATGCCCCATGCCAATCCTAACATGTAAATCAACTTTGGCTGCAACCTATGCAACTGGGAGTGCACAATCCAGTTCAGAATAGTATTTACAGCACAGCTGGAAGCTAATCCTTGCCTAAGTAGCTACCCTGGAGTATGCTGTATTGTACTAGCAACATCGTTCTTGGATCAAAAACTCATAGATATGGCTTAGCCCCTAAACGACTGCCTTACGAAACGAGAGGTTTTTATCCTCTGATTCTTTGTACGACTGAAGTGCTGGTGTGACATATGAAAAACAAAAGCTTGTATTTACATACTGAGGTTCCTTTGGTGAGATGCAAGCAGACATGGCCCTACCCCAGAGCCTGAGTCAAGCTCCAGTGTATTAAGCAGGTTTTATTTGATACTCAGCTGTGTCTGTATACACGTCCTCGATGGACTAGGGAATAACTGTACATAATAGACATTTTAATTCTAATTTAGGTACAGACCCCAAAAGCAACCCACAGAAATAATAATGCTATATCACAGTAGCTGAAAAAGTCCTTCCAAGAAAAAAAGAAAAAAAAGCAAAATATTGTACTTTGAAGACAAAGTAACTATGACAACAGAGCATATGATACTCATTTCTCCATCACTGTGAAACATTGCATAGTTTTCAGTTTCAGCAGTCAAAAGACCATGGTTTGCCACTTGTTCAAACGTGCTGGCTTCTCTGTTACACATTGTGTCGTTATCAAACGCCTATTTTGCCTGCTTACAAATACTGTAACCAAACCTTCCTATAGATTTGCTTTGTCTCCCTTACTGCGTTTCATCTAGAAATTTATTGTTTTGGAGGAACTCATCAATTAAAGACTTTTGGGCATCCTGCCATTTTACTACACAAGACACTAAGCAGTGAGGGAAGGGAACTTGCTGCAGAATAACTGCTTTTAGAAGGAATGGCTGAATTACTTCTCTTGGTGAGAAATACAAGGAGGGAGAAGGAAACACACTTAGTGCTTTTGCATTCATTTGTACCAATTTTGTATAAGGAAAGCTTTCAGCCCTGAGTGATCTGGTCTGCGCTCAGAGCTGAGTCTGTTTCGAGCAGGAGGTTGGACCACAGATCTCCTGAAGTCCCTTCCAAGTGGGGTTGCTTCATGACTGTGTGAGGACTGGACTGTTACTGATCTAAGCAAATGAATCTGTAGATGTTTTCCAAGCTTGACAGATGGTCTGAGCAGGACACCTTTCTTTAACAACATTCACTACAAACATGTAATACTCTGGGGTCACAGAAAGGTCCACATGAATGGCAAAACGGACTTTTGAAAGCAAACTGGTGAGAGGAAAAAATGGGCCTCTGACAACGACGACTGTCTCATCACTTCATAAAACATAAAGGGCTAGCGACTGCTTGGGCCTCATCCTGACAAAAGGGCTGCCTCCATCCCAGATAAACCAAAATCTGCATCTGAACAGTGCCACTCTCCTTCAGTGATAATAAAAAATATGAGTACATCGTGTAAACACACACAGCGCCACAGTGTATACATCTCAAACAGTCATGAAATTATACCCTTGACAAAATCAGTAAAATCTCTTTCATGTTGCGCTTCTGAAAATCAGACCAATACTCTTTTGAAGGCTAAAAAATAAGAATTTCAAAGTCTGGTCAGGTATCAGGTTTGGATTTGAAGATTCTGCTGTCATAGCAAGAGTGACAAAACGCATGGTGACATCTCTTATAACATTAGCAGATAACAATAAGAGAAAACTTGGATTGATAGTATTTCATTAATGTTTACACTAGGTTTTTACTATCATTTCTAAAATATATGATCCACTATAAAAGACAGGATACTGGACTACATAGAGCACGAACTTCATCTATAATCTGATTTTAGAAATGTATGTAAAAGTAAAAAAAAAATAATTACAGAACGATTTAAAATACCAGTTCCTTCTTATCTCTTAATACAACAAGTGTATTGGACAAAAGGGAGCGAAAGAAAGACAATTAGGTATGTATTAAAAAAGTAACTACTTTAAAATATAAAATGTGAATAATTTTTATGGTAATAATCAAATGCAATATCCTGGCAGAACACGCTTCTTTCATAGCCAACACACAGAAGGTCATTTCTGGTTTAGAAATCAGAAGGTACTGGACATGGAAAAAGGTGTAAGTAGGAATTTTGTCTTTTCTGGCATCGGAAATCTATGTAATTTTGAGAGCGAAAGTGTCTTCAAGTCAAATTAACTATTTTAAAAAGTGGATGTAATAACCTGCAGAGAAGACTAATGGATCAGAATTAGTTGCAGGTATAATGAATTAGTTGCCAAATAAAGCTAGATTTTGCAATAATTATGATAAATTTCCCCCTATGAGCAATAGATAAATACCATTTATCAAGTGTCTACTAGAGAAAGATATACATGTATTATTTACATACATAAGTGTATAAATACAGTCCATTTTCACAGGTGGACCTAGATAATGTGTGCGTCTATATGTATACATCCACTGATTTGGTGAAGTAATGCTTCAACCTGAGTGAAAAGCTAAACTGCCTTTCCCAAGCTAATCAAACAGGACATCCTAGGAGTTTTTGCTTTAACAACCTTCAGTAGCCTCATATACTGGCTCCATCTGCGAGAAGCAAACTCCAGTAGTTTTGGCTGAACTAAAGTCAAACCAACATCATCCATTCCTTGGATATGAATGAATAGGGACCTACATAGAAGACAAAATACTCAGGCTTTTCTGACCACAGATTAGAGGAGTGCACTGTTTGTTTTATAGCCATGAACCTGCTCAATTGTATCACGTCTGCCTGAGCTTAGCAGCTTAAAATTCATTCCACACAGCCTGCAGTGCTGACATGGATATGATAAGACAGAAGAACAGAAACACCACTCTTTAGTAACCTAGCTGAACTGCACATGTTCTGACCCTTTTTGAACTCCCCGGAGCTTTTGTTACCTGGCAAACGCAGCTCTAAAACTGCTCTTGTATCTCCAGATCTTTGCTCTTAGCCATGCAGAAGCCTATTTCTCTCTGGGACTGGCAGCGAGAGAGGTGCTCTCTGAAGGCGGCTTCTAAATGAGCGTGCACACTGAACTCTTACTGAACTGAATTAATTATTAAAGATGCAGATGGAGCTGTCCAAATGATAAGAACAGCTCCTGACGTATCATGATCCAAGCTTTCATTAAACCATTTCAGGCATACTAATGGTTTCCCACCGCTCATTACTTACATGCTCTTTTCTCATAGATATAATAACCCTGGTGCCCAAAGGCACGACAGGCTATGGAAACAGTGAAGTTGAAAGCTCCTCAGAAGACATACTGAGGAACTTCATACTTCTCATCCTTATTTTGTGCAAACCTGTATACAGATACAGGTGCGAATGCTTATAAACTCAGAGAAAAATTTATAAATTAAAGTAGTAAGCAATATTGTCAAAAAAGGGTTTATGTGCATTGACAGTACTATTAAGTTGAGAATCATGAAAGTGATTCAATTAACACATTAAAAGGCTAACCAAGGTGAAATTCTCACATGCTACTGACACTAAGCAAGCTACACTACAAATATAGCTCTTTGGTTACACTGCACACATGACATATTATTTTTCAGCCATTACACTTCTCACACTTCCTCCTCCAGTCTCTCTTGCTTTCTCAGTTGGGACGATTAGAGGGCAAAGCAATTGCCAGAGAAGAATTACTCCCAGGAACTGTGCTGTGATTGCTACCTGCTGTTTCATATTTTTGAAGTTGGGAATACTGCTCCCAAAGGCCTTTTGCGTCTCAGCCTAAATGATTTGCTGGAGGATAATAATGTCATGGCCAGTAAATAATAGTGAACTATGTCTGTACATGGTCAATATGATTAAATGTCCTTCACCTCTATTCTCACTCTGACCTGGTTATGAGGAAGTGAAAAAGCCGTCAGCAATGCCCAAAGCTTCCCATGTGAAATGTTATTTTAAAGCAAGGGAGAGAAATAGAGGTGACTTAGCAAAACACTCCCAGTAACAATAAAATAAAAAGCTAGACACAAAAACCAAAATTATCACCTCACAATCAGACCTGAGGTAACTGAACTATTGTGGCATGAAACTTAGACAATTTTCTAGTAATGATTACAACAACTGCAAGAAACAACTTTGCGTTGAAAAATATTGTCTATCATATCGAAAATACGAAGTATATCTTCCAATTTTAACTGTAGGTTTAATTAAAAAAGAAGGCCTATCAACCTGAGACTTGATTTAATTTAAATGTATTTAGAAAATATTAAAAATACTAAAAAATCTGCACAATTATTATGGCCTATACTTACACCTTACAAACACTATAATTTTTCTAATTCAACTCATACGCACATGAGTTTTGGGATCTACCCTTATTTCTTTGAAAATATGTCAATGAACTCAAACAACTTCTACATTGCACAAGTATCTTTTCTTGAGTGACTGCTCAAGGATGGAAAATTTTTGATACAAACAGAGAGTAAAACTAACCCAAATATACGTAAGTTTATTTAATATTGAAGATACCAGGAAGGAATAAAGTACCTACAAGAGACTGGTCGGGTACCTTTTTTATAGAAAGTTCCTTAATCAAAGTATCAGTTTATTTTTTACATGGAGAAGTAATGTAAACTATAAGTTACAAAAAGTGTTGAAATAGTAGGTCTGGAGTATAGATCTATGAAAGTCAGAAATTTCAAAATTATGCCTGATGCATGCCATTCAGGCTAAAAAAATAATAATACTGACAAAATACCAATTCCTGAATTTGGAAACTGAAGGGAACTGAACTTCTGTTAACATTTCACAACTCTACTACTGTATAAAGGCAGGGGAACAGGCAACTATTTAGACTTTCAAAAGCATGAATTCATCCTTCCAAACTACCAGCAGTTATGAGAATAACTCTCTATGTACATAGGCTATGTCCCCACCACCAGCCTTCTGGAATATTTCCCAATTTCCCAGGTATAGCCAGGCTTTAAAAATACTGAACTAGCAGGAAAAAAACAAGGTGAGCCAAAATGCACATCTTGCATTCACTTTGCTTCCAAATTCCTAAGTTATGCAGTGTTGGTATTATTAGTCTGAAATAACAGGGAAATGTTTTTTCCCTGGGTTGACAGACAACTGTGCTTTTTACTGGAAAGCACTCAGAGAACGGATAATTGATGTATGAACATCACGTTCAATATTAAATGGACAATGGGGCACTCAGCTGAGGGTGTACAGATGGGTGTGCATGCATACTTGACTTTACTCAAATGATGGCAAGAATGTGTATAAGCTTTCTATTGGTTACATAATATTCTATCATTTACACTAAAACAGATCAACTTGTATGTCTGACATACATTATATGTAGCATAAATACACACAGAAGTAGTCATCGAAAAAAAAGCATGTGCATATGAAAATACAGATACAACTACTGTGTAAGTGTAATGAAATATAAGATTTATTTGATTAACCAATGCCTTAGAAAACCCTCTTGAGATAATTATGTTGGATAATTAGCAGTTAAATTCTGGAACGTGTACAATAGTGACTCAATTGAAAGCAGTAGTAATGGTTCCTTTAAAAAACCCCAGTGTTTAGCAGTACTTCATTGATTTTTCACATGGCTACACATGTCAATAAGACCTTCAGAGTTCAAGCCATTAGGAAAAAATGGCTATGCTGAAGTGCCACCACAGCTTTGACAATTAATCATTTGGTCAGCACTCTTTAAAGATTTCTAAACATTTATATAACCATTGGTCACATTACAAATTGTTTATAAGCATTTTCATGAAATGTTTTGTGAATAAGGGTGGTATTGACTGATATTCAATCTTTTTAACTTTGCTGTGAGGCAGCCTAAAAGGAAAGGAAAAACAAAGTTCTTACCAGGATAATGAATGTAACAGGTCCAATGAAACTCCAGATAAAATAGTTATCTACATGGAGCCAGCAACTATCATGTAAAAAAGAGAATGAAAAGTGAACAATTGCATTAGCACCTCAGTCCAATAAACAGAGAATGCAAAAAAACTTCTTAAGCTAACATTTTGCCAGTAAACAATGATATACATTGCACAGTATCACTTAGTCCATGGACAATTTTTCCTAATCTGAATCTCTTCTGCTGAGTCCTGTTTAATAACACTATCAAACTTGAAAATACATCATCAGGAATAGCTAATATATAAGAAGAAACAAAACCAAAAACCAATACGAGCTCTCTCTCTTTTCAGTCAAAAGGTTTGATCACAGGTACTATCACGGACTAATGAATCTAACATCAGTAAATATTTTTCACAGGTTTTCCATGCAATCTTCAAAATCTGCTTTTAACTTTGTGTCAGATGCAAAGTGCTTACTCCTGAGGAATATGAGACAGAAAATGCTCAGATGCCATGTTTTGCTGAAAAACAATATGGTATGAACAAAATGCCCCAACGGGGAGTTGAACAGTAGAGAAAGAATACATATGATGCCAGACTAAATGACGTGTAAACCTATTAGGGCTGACTTCACTTAGCGATTCGTTTTTCATACAGCCCAGTTCCCTGCTGAATTGCTCACATTTGTCTTTCATCAGCAGCAAAATCAAGCAGCTTTCTTGTAGTCAACAGTGTCTTCCCGTTCTGTAACTAATTTCATCAAAGGACAAAGTAAACACTATTGGAAGGCAAATTCATGCCTCCAGCAACTCAAATCCTCAGGAATGTTTTCTGTCTACATTCTGTCACTTTCTATATATATCTGTATTTTTGTAAATAAAAGGCAGTGGCTAATTTTAATCCTGCTCTACTTGCCTGATAAAATATCGAAGTGAAACATATGGGTTGGAATATTGTACTGTCATAATTCAGGATGAGAGTTAGCTAGAGGGGCAGTTGAACAAAGAGATCTAACGAAGCATTAGCTTAAAACTGGGTGGTTAGGCCTATCAGATACTTTAAGTTGAGAATTTTTACTTAATATACATTTAAGGCCAAAAAGTTATTTACTTTTTCAATTTGTTTCAGGTCAATCTTTTGTGTTAAAAGAAAGACCATAATTTAGAATCGGTCTCTCTAGAGTACAAATCCTCTGAACCTAGAGAATTACAAAAGACTTGATTGTAATTTGTGCAGAGCATTGCCATTCTCTTACCAATAAAGCTTTCAGATGGTATTTTAGTCTGTCAGGGACCCTCTGACAGCTAATAGGCTTTAAAAAATTATTCACTTGAAAAACACTCAGGTCACTTGCAATTACTTACGCTTTCTCTGTTCCGTAGCTCTTATAGTCAATAGCTGCTGAGACACCAACTACTGTAGCAGGGAAGAGGTAGCCAGCAACATAATAGTACTTCTTCCTAGAATATTCACTTTCAAATACTTCTACTAACATTAGATAAAGCTGCACTCCTTCTAGACACATCCAGGCAAAGGCTGCCAGGAAGAAAAAGTGTAAGAGACCTGCAAATATTGGACATGCAATCTGCAAAGAAGAAGAAAGACAGAAATATAAACCACAAAATCTTCACATCATTACATTTCCAATAAATAGTGTGTAAACAAATATACTTCTATCAGAGATCTTTCATAAATTCAGGAGCATTTTCCCTACCTGAAAACATATGCTGAACATTTGGAAATACTAATGTGTGCTCGGTAGCTACAGAAAGTAAATTAGCTAAACAGTGTGAATGAAGGTAAGGAAATCGTGTCCTCACCTCCCAGTCTTCAATTACAGAGCCGACTTTTCAATTTTATAAGCAAATCTTTAATTTTGAAACTGAGATGGTTTTAGGACTTATGATTTACATAATCTGAGACATGAACAGTTGGTTCTAGATGTAATACTGCTTACTAAAATTATGAAGCAGCCATCAAGCCATTTTTATCTGCTGTAACTTGGACGTTTCTACTGTCATAACAGAAATCTATCTGAATTCTCTCCCCTTTGGTTGAGTTCTGGATGAAACTATACTGAATTATTAGATTTCAATCCAGTTAATTGCTTCAGAATTAATTTCACCAATACTCAAACAAACCTGCATGAATGTGCAGTGTAAAAAATGTGTAAATATACAGATAAGGCTCTGCACTAACATACGTTCATATAAAAAAGTAGTCAATAGCTGTTGAGACATATGAATGCATAGAGAAAACATATATAGGTTTCTAGTATGTTGACCTTTAATTTCATCTCCTCTTTCAAAAGTTTAACCACCTGCTTTGTTAATAGTCGACGTTTCTCAACTGAAAATGAAAAACATTGCAGTAAGTGGGAAATTAAGGCCACAGTGATAATTTTGATGGATGTAAATACTGTTTATGAATATGTCTATCTTATTTTCACAATGAGCTTTTATTTCAGCCTTGCTGTGTCAGAATGCTGAAAGCTTGGCAGTGTTGACATGTTTTAATTCAAATCCATTTCAAACAGTCATTTCAGAGAACAAGATCAGTACACACAGAGAAAACTTACCTTGTACTCTGTCTTATCGATGCCTATTAGGAAAATGAACTCAGCAATGAATAGGTTGATACAAAGGTTCTTGTGAATAGTGTTACGATCACTTTGCAGGCCACGGAAAAAACAGAATGTGAAGATGCAGATGGCCAGGCAAACAAGAGAGATGACAATTCCCACCCAGGTGATGACAGTGAGGAGCAATTCGTGCACTCCATCTTTGTACTAGAAATAACCAAGAATGGAGAAAATTAATATGACTCTTTATGAGTATAAACGAAAACCTATTTTCACAGGTAGCATCCAGAAAAGTTACTTGTTCATTACATGAGATGGGCAAAATGTACTCTGCAATTTCTCAGTCTCAGGTCAGCGTCCCAGAAGAGCAAGATAGGGTAAGTAGAAGAGGAGGAGGTCTGAGAGAAAAATGACTATTTTAGCCAGATCAGATAGTATTTTTACTTTTCCTATGGCTAACTGTAAACTTGTCAGGCAAGCACAAGTAGAGAAACATAACATTTTAAAAGTGTCACTAGGCTCTGGCACAAACAAAGAGGAGAGCTTTCCCTTGGACCTCCTATAAGAGTACATGTTTTATCCTACAGACCTGTAACTCCACAGTGGAGAAGAAAGCAACAATTTAAACACCAATTAGGACAAAACGCAGACTGTTACACGTGTAATTCCAGCTCTAATCAGCTAAAAATGGTTCCTTGCTTGAGTTGCAACAGAATCACTTTTGTCATCTTGGTTATCTTTTCAGCAATCTTTGCGAATGCAATGGCTTTATGAGAAGTCTCATATCCTTGCAAATATTGCATGCCCCCTTAAATTCAGCCAGTGCTTTAACTAGACAACAGAATTTCAGCGTATGAAGAGGCATTTAAACAACTGGTATGGAAAATCCTTGACCTTCCTGCTCTAAGTAGAGCTTGCACTTGTGCTTCCAGGGAACAGCCTGCACAGCTGCCCCTACAGATACTCTCCAGTTGTACTGAGCGGAAGTTTGTAAAACAGTTGTGAGGTTGGTCAGTAACTGTAAAATATGACTAGAAGAAAACTGCTGTCCTTCCTTGTTTTTCTTTCCTGTTATTTTGCTTGTGCCTTTACGGGTGAGGAAGAAAAGTGTTACAGAAAGCAAATTGCTTTGGAAAGACTGGGTAGAAGCTATAAATACTTAAGAAACATCAGCAATTTTGGATTTTGCTAAAAATTTGAAGCTACATCTTTAAAAGTTTGCTCCCTGCCGATGGCTGGAAACATCATTACCTACCACAATTTCCCGATGAGCCATAAGGATTGCAAAGTTGGTTAGGTGACTGCAAGCACACGTTGTATGAGTTTTATTTGTGTCAACCAGTTTGCAGCCTTGAGTTGACCAGTATCCCATCATAGTTCTCTCTGAGTAGTTCCAGAAGGAACAATTTGCATTGAAATAATTGTCAGGCTGGGAGATAAAAGGATAACATAAAATGAGGATTTTAGACACTAAGATGGCAATAACAATTGTTTAATATGTGTAAAGGGTAATTTAGATTAAACTTTGCAAGTTTCGGACAATAAAGTTTTTCATCAGCAAAATTGTAGACTATGTTATACAAGGAAGACATGTAGTTTAAAAGGGACTTTATAGTCCGAAACACTCTAAAGTGTAGTCTCAATTATTGTAGACCCAATTTTAAACAATTACAATTTCCATCTTACGATTTTATGCACTGATGGTACATTATAGTCATTTTTGCTTTCTGCAAAATTAGGACTGCAAATTTATTCTGAAGATATTTTTCCTGTAATTGAGAATTTGAAAATATGATCTTTTTCCTTTGATTCTCACCTTTGGTCAGGCCAAAGTCATGTGAACAGACATCAGGAAAAATGTTCATTTCTCAATGCCTATCTATTTTGATGAAAAACGATCAAAACAGATTTATAAAAAAAAAGGCAAAATGAATGGAAAACCCAATCATATTTTCTCTATCACAGTACTGATTATTTCCTGACGTGAAACACGAAAACAGAAAGGACCAAGCTAACAAGCAAAGAAACACATTAAATAAATTACCGTGAAGAAAATATACACAAACTTAAAGTATAACAAATCAAGATATAATACTTTATTCTTCACTGAATAAATGCATTTAAACAATTTGTATATGCTTCCAGAATTTGGTCCAAAATTAATGTAAAAAGTTAAAGCGTCATTAAATCTTGCTACATCAGACCATCAAGAATCTTAACATTATTTTCTACCCTGCTACTAAGGTAAGACTTAATTTTCAGTTAGAAACAAATTAGTCATTTACATTTTCATGTTGATTACTGAATTAGCTTTCATTAAGAATACACTTAAGTTCTAATAATCACTGAACCAGGCTCATTTAATTTTATGTTCATAGACTTAACTAAGCTTGTGTCTCTGACCTAGTCCAACATTTAAAATTCAAATGGAAAAAAGGTTATTTTTCTGCATTGCTTTTCTCTCTTGCTGATTTTATGACCTTCCCATTAATTCATTAGCATAACTCACATCAATGTGTTCCAGTGTAAAATGCACAGGATCAGTCAGGTACACCCGGCTAGACTCCTTGTTGATAGAGGCTGCAATGACGTGGGAGTTGACTGCGATCGTGCTATTCCGCCCAGCAAAGTCGCTGCCTAGTTTTATGGTTGCATTTTCAGTACTGAGAAAACGCCCCAAACTTTTGTAAATGATGAAAACCAGTTTTGCTAATCCTACAAAAGAAAAAAATCCCACCATCATAACGCAGAGGTCTACAGAAACACAGCAACCTGTACTATAATGAACTGACAATAAAGAGTCAGTAAACAGAGAGGCACTTTCAGGCTACAGAGTCAAAGAAAAACAGCCAGGTACCCACGACCTTCGAGAAAAAGTCACAGAGCAGTTTTGTTGTGTTTTGTTTTGATATTTTAACTAGGGAAGGTAACGTGGGTTTTACAGAAGTTGATGGAGTTTCAGTGCTCCGTGCCCAAGACTCACCATTCCT